CAGAGAAGAGGGAGAAGGTTCACACGAACCACAGAGGGTCGTTTTAGATAAAGGCAAGGGCCATACTGTAGAGGGGGAAGAGGCGAGGTACATTCCGCCTCCTCCACAGGCACCCCCTCTACCATTTCCATCTCGGGCGACGAAGTTTAATGAAGACAACCAGTTTGCCAAGTTTACCGAGATGTTGAAGAAGCTGGAAGTGACCATGCCTTTTCACGAGGTAGTTCTCCAAATCCCGTCCTACACCAAATTTTTGAAGGACATACTCACGAAGAAGAGGGCGGTTGAGAAGGAGACAGTGGCACTTAGTACAGAGGTGAGTGCTGCCATATTGCAGAGGAGTTACCGCAGAAGATGGCTGATCCGGGTAGCCTCTCCATCCCGTGCAGATTGGGGAATGTGGAGATTGAGAGGGCGCTTTGTGATTTGGGCGCAAGTGTCAGTTTGCTGTCTCTCTCCATATTCAAGAAGCTTAATATCGGTGAGCTGAAACCGACAAGGATGGCACTGCAATTGGCCGATAGATCGGTAAAGTATCCCGCTGGGATTTTAGAGGATGTGCCTCTTAAGGTAGGGGAATTCTACGTCCCCATCGACTTTGTGGTTCTGGACATGCCGGAGGATTCTAAAATCCCCATCATACTTGGTAGGCCGTTTCTGAACACGACTGATGTTGTAGTGCATGTCAGAGAAGGGAGACTTACGATGAAGATCGGAGATGAGACGGTTGAGTTCAGACTTGATCAGAATCTTAAGCAGTCGCATTTGGTGGAGTCTTCCTTCTTCCTGGACTTGATAGACACATTGGTCGACGAAGTGAGGGGTGAATTCAGAGAGTCAGAACCCCTCGAGATGACATTGAACGCGGTACAAGGCAGCATGTACTGCGATTGGGAGGAAGTCCGGAGCATTGTTCGGACTTTAGATGACAGCTCATCGATTGAGCTAGAGGGCTGGAAATACAGGGCCATTGAGCCCTTATCTTGTTCTGCCCGTGAGTTCCCTTGGCTAAGGGACGAGGAAAACAGAGAGGAGCCATCACCTTCTCCGAGTCATCAAGCCCCGGTTTCCTCCATTCAAGTCAAGCAACCCGATGTGGAGACGGGCGGGAAGAAAGATTGGGATCCAGAGAGCGCGCCTAAAGTGGAATTGAAGCCCTTACCGCAAGGGCTTAGGTATGAATTTCTCGGACCTAATTCTACTTACCCGATCATTGTGAATGCTGCTTTGACTGATATGGAACTAGCTGAATTAGTTGCATTGCTTAGGGAGTATAGACAAGCCTTGGGTTACACTCTAGACGACATTAGAGGCATTAGTCCATCTCTTTGCATGCGTCGCATTCACTTAGAGGATAGTTCTAAAACCTCCATCGAGCATCAACGTAGGTTAAACCCGACCATGAAGGAGGTAGTAAAAAAGGAAGTGCCCAAATTGCTAGATGCGGGTATCATTTACCCGATTTCGGATAGTGCATGGGTTAGTCCCGTGCAAGTTGTGCCAAAGAAGGGGGTATCACTGTGGTAGAAAACGAGCATAATGAATTGATACCCACTAGGACAGTTACGGGTTGGAGGATGTTCATTGATTATAGGAAGCTGAATTCCAACACCCGTAAGGACCATTTCCCGTTGCCCTTCATCGACCAAATGCTAGAGAGGTTAGCCTTGCATTCCCATTTTTGTTTTCTTGATGGCTACTCGGGATTCTTCCAAATCCCCATTCACCCTAGCGACCAGGAGAAAACCACCTTTACATGCCCATATGGCACCTTTGCATATCGTAGGATGCCCTTTGGTTTATGTAATGCACCGGTGACATTTCAGAGATGCATGACTGCTGTATTTTCTGATCTCATTGAGAATGTTATGGAGGTGTTCGTGGATGATTTTTCCGTCCATGGACCCTCCTTTTCTGTGTGTCTAATGAATTTGTGACGAGTGTTCGACAGGTGTGTTGAGGCGAACGTTGTGCTGAATTGGGAGAAGTGCCATTTCATGGTCCAAGAGGGCATTGTGCTAGGCCAAAAGATTTCGAGAAAGGGGATTGAGGTTGATCGAGCTAAGCTCGAAGTATAGAGAAGCTGCCGCCTCCACGGAATGTTAAAGGAATCCGGAGTTTTCTGGGACATGTCGGGTTCTACAGGAGGTTCATCAAGGACTTCTCGAAGATTTCGAGGCCTTTGACTGAATTGCTTGCAAAGGATGTGCCATTCGAGTTCACCCATGAGTGCGAGGCTGCCTTTGAGACTCTGAAGAAGGCGTTGATTTCTCCGCCTATTATTCAGCCACCGGATTGGGAAGCTCCTTTTGAGCTTATGTGCGATGCGAGCGATTTCGCCGTCGGGGCTGTCTTGGGTCAAAGGAAAGACAGAAAGCTGCATGCCATCTATTATGCGAGTCGGACTTTGGATGATGCACAAGTCAACTACTCCACCACTGAGATGGAGTTACTCGCTATCGTCTTTGCCTTTGAGAAGTTTCGGTCTTACTTGGCCAGGTCGAAGGTGATCGTCTATACCGACCATGCTGCCTTGAGATATCTCCTATCCAAGAAGGATGCCAAGCCGAGGTTAATCAGATGGATTCTCTTGCTGCAAGAGTTTGACTTGGAGATCAGAGATAGGAAGGGTACAGAGAATGGAGTAGCCGACCACTTATCTCGGATTGAGCGACATGAAGATATTCCCATTGATGATTGTCTCCGAGATGATTGCGTGATGGCTGTCCAAGTGAAGGAGAGAGACCTGTGGTACGCAGATTTTGTCAATTTCATTGTTAGCGGGTACATTCCCCACGAGTTGGACTACAACGGGAGGAAGAGCTTCTTCAGAGACATCAAAGATTATTTTTGGGAAGAGCCTTACCTCTTCAAGAGAGGCAAGGATGGCCTCTTTAGGAGATGTGTGCCCGAAGAGGAAGTCCGGAGTGTGATTCATCATTGTCACTCTTCGGACTATGCTGGTCATTTCGGAGCATCGAAGACCTCGGCTAAAATTCTTCAATCCGGGTTTTATTGGCCATCAATGTTCAAAGACGTTCATCAATACGTCTCCTCTTGCGATGCTTGCCAGAGAACGGGGAACATCTCCTGCCGCCACGAAATGCCTCAACGATATATCTTGGAAGTTGAACCGTTTGATGTTTGGGGTATAGACTTCATGGGACCGTTCCTATCTTCTTATGGGAACCAATACATCCGCGTGGCGGTCGATTACGTCACCAAGTGGGTAGAAGCGATGGCGAGTCCCACTAACGACTCGAAGTGGTGACAAAGATGTTCAAGAGGGTGATTTTTCCGAGATTCGGGACGCCAAGGGTCGTGATTAGCGATGGAGGATCTCACTTCATCAACCGTACCATAGAAGTGCTTTTGAAGAAGTATGGTGTGAGACATAAGGTGGCTACCCCGTATCACTCTCAGACGAGCGGGCAAGTTGAAGTCTCGAATAGGGAGATCAAGGCGATACTTGAGAAGACGGTGTCAAGGTCAAGGAAAGATTGGGCATCCAAGCTCGATGACGCTCTATGGGCGTATAGGACAGCCTTCAAGACACCCATCGGTATGTCTCCCTTTCAACTTGTCTATGGGAAAGCTTGTCACTTGCCGGTTGAGCTTGAGTACAGGGCATACTGGGCAATTAAGAAGCTGAATTACGACTGGAAATACGCCACTGAGAAGCGAGTGTTGCAGCTTCACCAACTCGATGAGATTCGGTTGGACGCCTACGAGAATGCCCGGATTTACAAGGAGAGAACCAAGAGATGGCATGATCGTCAGATTTTGCAGAGGGATTTTAGAGAAGGTGATCAAGTACTTCTCTTTAACTCAAGGCTCAAACTATTTCCAGGCAAGTTGAGATCGCGTTGGTCGGGGCCTTTCACGATTAAGCATGTCTACCCTCATGGAGCGATAGAGTTATATGGCTATGGAGGGGATACGTTTAAGACCAACGCGCAAAGGCTGAAGATTTATAACCCCGGGGAGCACGACAAAGAGAGGAGCTTGATGAGCTTCTCTGATCCTCAAGACGAGTGAGCAACCCCGCGGTCAAGCTTAGGACCATAAATAAGCGCTCTCGGGAGGCACCCCGAGCTTGTAGATATCCTTTTTAATATCCTTTTTGCATTGCATATTTATTTTTCTGCATTTGGGAACTTAGACGCATGATGTAATGATGTGATCTTGATGTTGCTTATGTCTTTGCTATGATTATATCAGTTTCAGTTGATCTTCTCTCTTTCTGAGTTTTGATTTTGGAAGGTGAACATTATCGAGCAACCGAGACGATACACAATGTGGAATCATTCACAAGTGGAATGCAGGGAGGCATCTTTTATCCTTGGACACAAGGTTATATACTTATTTTTCCCTCCTATTTCACTTAGCTCTGAATTTCCTATTCCACGTATCTGCCCCTTCGGATTCGAGTGACACCGCGGACGGTGTCTCATTCAAGTCTGGGGGGGTTGAGCATCTAACATCGCTTCAAGCCCTTTTAGAGTGCATTCATACATCCATTTGCATATAAAAAAAATGATTGATGATTTCTCACTATAGATGCATTCCACACTTGCATTTCTTGCATTTGTACATATAGACACCACCTAGCCTTGCATTACATTTGTGTCTTGCATTGTATTTGTTACATATAGGTCTAGAACATGTAGGAGCATATGCATTGCATAAACCGTTTTGAGTTGAGATTGGTCGATGATGAGATGATGATGATAGCTACTTAGAGATTGCTTAACGATTTGGATTTAGACCTCTAGGTGTTCGAGTAGATTGTCGATGATAGGTGAATAGCGAACCCTCTCTTTGATGCTTGCGATTCTAGGTTGTGGGGTATATTGTTGTCTTTAGGTATGCCAAAGAGTAGGACCGACCGAACCTAGGTTAAATATCTCCCTAAAACCGTTCCCGAAGCTTCTCCCATAGGATAGATAGTCTCTTAGAAAAAAAAATGTGTTGTAGGAATAAGCGAAGAAAGTATATACATCCCAACACTCCGCTGCCACTATATCGTTAATGAAAATCATTCGATGACATGAGTGCGTCGAAATTCGATGGTTCGGGTCTAAGTTGTGGGACAAGTGTTGTCATGATCATTAAAGAAAAGCAAAAGCGGAGACACTTGTCAACTTCAACATCCTAGGAACTCGGGATATTACTTCTCTTAGCACTTTCTTGAAAGGAAGAAGAAAAGAAAAAAAAATGTGTGAACAAAATAAATAAAGAGACAAAATATCTTAGAGGAGAAGAACGGTAAATAGGTTCAGGAGAGTGCTTGGAAGTGGGAATTACTCTTATGGTAGATTAAGGACGACATATAAATCCCATACTTAGAAAGTTTAGCTGACAAGAGAGAATAGCTAGAGTAGCCTAGATTAGATTCTACTCCCATAAATTGAGCAGTGGACACGCAACTAGATCTTGAAACTCATCAAATACCGATTTCTATCTCACTGTCCTTCTCAGACTTTGTGTTTCATTGATTTTATTTGCTCGAGGACGAGCAAAGATTTAAGTCTGGGGGAATTTGATGGCTCGGATTTTATACGAGTATGTCTTTGGTTTCTAAACGGTTTCCACGCATTCTTAGGCATTTTTAGAGCCATTATAGGGTTTCGGGACTATTTCTTGACTTTGGCAGGACCCCGAGGGCATAACGCACAAATTCGGTGAGAATCGGAGAAAACAGTCCATCTGGTCTGCCCCTGACCAACTCTGGTCCGGCGGACCAGGAGATCGCCACAACTTCGCCCAGCGCTGACCGAAGACGAGCTGACCAAACGAAAATGAAGGCCTGGTCCGGAGCTGACCAGTTCTGGTCAGCCGGACCAGGAATGTTCCGTGCTCAGCCAATCCGCCGAACCGAAGATGAGCTGACCAAACCCAAATGCAAGTACGGTCCGGAGCTGACCGCCTCAGGTCCGGCGGACCAAACATTCTCCGCACAAAGCCCAGTCAGTTGCTCGCCTGCCCCAGTCAGCCGGTGTGAGTCCCCTGAAGACCTGGTCCGGAGCTGACCAGGTTTGGTCAGCCGGACCAGGACCACTTCTGCGCCGCGTCCTGTGCTTTCATTTACTCCTGGTCCGCCGGACCAAACCTTGGTCCGGCGGACCGCGTGACCTGGAAACAAGTTAAGTCTGATTTTTCGGACTTTTGGAAGAGAGTTCGATTTGGGAACGAAACAAGAGGCGATTTTCTCTCCTCCAAAAGACCTAGGGTAGAAATCTTGAAGGAGAAACAAGGAGTTTGCTTTAGTTTGAAGATTGAAGATCATATTGAGCATCTCTTTCCCTTTCTCTCTCTATGCTTCATCTTGCATCTTGTTTATTTTGTGTTTATGAACAAGATGTGTGAGTAGTTTCTTGTTGTGGGATGAGAGATTAGCCCTCATGTAAGGATGCTTGTCTTAACCTTTGGACCCAAGATTTTGTCTTGTTCATGCTTTCAAACTCTTGCAATGAATGAAATTTTGTTCTTCATAATTATCTATCATCTCTCTTGAATGAATGTCTAGGGGAACCTTGGATTTGTTCAATTGAGTGATGCAATTGCTTGAGTTTTGATTGCTAGAGGTTGATGAATGATGTTTAATGTTACCCATTGGATGAAAATCTTGTGGGTAGATTTTAGGATTGTGAATTTCATGGAGACATTTCTTGGTCTCTTGATGCATTCAATCAATTGGGTTGAAATTGAATTCGAAGAAATTCGGTTCGAATCAATCTAGGATTATGACAAGAGCGTTTAATGCATTCGTGATTTTCACTCTAAGCCACGAAAGTGGATAGAGTACTCTCTTGGATAGCGGATTTTCGGTTCGAAAGAACCGAACCCGATCTTAGTCTTCGAATCCCTCACTTTAGAACGAGCATGATCTAGGTCCATGATTCCTTACGGCATCCTTGCATGATCGGTGAAACCCGACTCCCAATAACTTTTTCCATCGATTATCTCCTCTTGAATTGTGATTGACCTCGATTTTACTTTCTTTCTTTTAATTTTCTGCAACTTACGAAAACCAACAAAAACAATTCTCCGATTTTATTTTCTCCATTTTCCTAGTTTTAGTCGATTCCTAGCTTAACCGCTTAAGTCCTTGTGTTCGACCCCGGTACTACGACATCCGTATACTTGCGGATTAGTTGTGTGTCGGGTATAAATTTAAAACTCGTCACGCAAGTGATCACTCCTCCTTATGCACAAATTTTCCTTGCTTTCTTCTGTGTTTCAAGCCTATTTAAAGGCCCTTGTATGTCAAGAATGAGCAGACTTTGAATTGATAAGAAATCGAGTTGCATTTTGCTTCTTCTTCTTGGTGTGTCCGAGAGTATCGCCTTCTGCGCATGTGTGTGTGTGTCACCCTTGTGCAAGGTCAAAACGTGGTGGATTCAAGGTTGGTTTGGCTCCTTTGAATCCTCTTTCATACCCCTATCTTCCATCAAAAATTGGGAATCATCCGAGTGCCCTTTGGCCTGGAACTTCCCTTCCATCTATCACCTAAACCGAGTGCTCTCGAGTGCTCTGTTTTAGTCCGATTTGCAGATTGTTTTTGAGGGATTCCGAGAGCCCTTTAGCCTGGGTCTCCTCTTAAATATATATGTATAAATACCTTAGTGAGTCTCCAAGTGTCCCCTGGTCTTGAGCTAGCTGCTTTCGTTACCCAAAGGCAACATAAGTCACGCACGTACAAACTGCATTTCACCGAAGGAAACGAGTGAGGCTTCCTTGGCTCCGTGCATATATCAGAAAGCCTCTAGGTCGAAATTCATTCAAGCTTTACACAAAGAATAGACCCTAGAGCACACAACAGGAGGCGATTATCAGGAAGTGAGAGATCGCAGTAGAAGACGGAGATCACGAAGCCGAGAAATCGACTAAGCGTTCCTCTTTCCTTCTATTTTACGATGTTTTGTTGTATTGATATGAACCCTGACGTCTCGATGTTTAGCGAGCAATTCCTCTGCTGTAGGCAGGGATTTGCTATGTAGGGATCTTTGGTTCATAATTCCAGAATTTGTGGTTTTATTTATTCTATTCGGTTTATTGAGTTGCGTTTAATGCGTTTGATCTTGTTGGTCACTTGATTGAATGGACTTACGGTTTTAATTCGCATAGACATGTGGGATTCTAACCTGGAAATAATTCAATAAATAGAACAGGTATTGCATTGAGAGATGAATATTTGCCTAGGGATTATGATAACGTTCGTTCATGTATCCAGGGTTGTAGACTATTGAATCGAGAGATTAGTAAGATAAAGCCTGGATAGTGAGATTAGACTCGAGAGGGTTAACCTCTACTTTAGAGCTTGAATTTCCTGAATCGGTTTGAAAGACCCTTACTGATGGCTTGGATTTTATCTAGATTTTATATGAGTTTGCCTTTGGTTTCTAAACGGTTTCCACATATTCTTAGGCATTTTTAGAGCCATTCTAGGGTTTCGGGACTATTTCTTGACTTTGGCAGGATCCCGAGGACATAACGTACAAATTCGGAGAGAATCGGAGAAAACAGTTCATCTGGTCCGCCCCTGACCAACTCTGGTCCGGCGGACCAGAAGATTGCCACACAAGTCCGTCCCCAGCGCTGAGCCAAGCCCTGACAAGGTGTGTTGTCGTGCTCAGCCAGTCCGCCGAACCATGCCGAAGACGAACTGACCCAGCAAAAATCAAAGCCTGGTCCGGAGCTGACCAGTGGTGGTCAGCCGGACCAGGATCACGAGCCTACTCAGTCAGCCAGCGAACTCTGCCGAACGCCCCTGACCAGACCCGAAGAAGTATTGGTCCGGAGCTGACCGTTCCAGTTCCGCCGGACCAGTACGCCGTTGCCCTTCCTTGGTCCGCCTCTCGCCTGCCCTGTCAGCCGGAGTGAGTCCTCTGAAGTCCTGGTCCGGAGCTGACCAGGTTTGGTCAGCCGGACCAGGACCACTTTGCGCCGCGTTCTCGTGCTTCATTTACTCCCGGTCCGCCGGACCAACACCTGGTCCGGCGGACCGCGTGACCTGGAACTGAATTAAGTCCGATTTTTCGGACTTTTGAGAGGGAGCTCGATTTGGGAACGAAACAGGTGGCGATTTTCTCTCCTCCAGAAGACCTAGGGCCGAAATCTTGAAGGAGAAACAAGGAGTTTGCTTTGGTTTGAAGATTGAAGATCTTATTGAGCATCTCTTTCCCTTTCTCTCTATGTTTCCTCTAGCTATTTTGGTGTTCTTGAACATGAGTAGTAAGTAGTTTCTTGTTGTGGGATGAGGGATTAGCCCTCATGTAAGGATGCTTGTATTCACCTTGGACCCAAGATTATGCTTTGTTTATGCTTTCAAATCCTTGCTTTGAATGAAATTTGTGTTCTTCAAGTTTATCTCTCTTGAATGAATGTCTAGGGGAACCTTGGATTTGTTCAATTGGATGATGCAATTGCATGGGTTTTGATTGCTAGAGGTTGATGAATGATGTTTAATGTTACCCATTGGATGAAAATCTTGTGGGTAGATTTTAGGATTGTGAATTTCATAGAGACATGGATTCTTGATTCTTTGATGCATTCAATCAATTGGGTTGAAATTGAATTCGAAGAAATTCGGTCCGAATCAATCTAGGATTATGACAAGAGCGTTTAATGCATTCGGGATTTTCACTCTAAGGCACGAAAGTGGATAGAGTACTCTCTTGGATAGCAGATTTTCGGTTCGAAAGAACCGAACCCGACCTTGATCTTCGAATCCCTCACTTTAGAACGAACATGATCTAGGTCCATAATTCCTTACGGCATCCTTGCATGGTCGGTGAAACTCGATTCCCATAACCTTTCCCATCGATTATCTCCTCTTGAATTATTGCTTGCTTTGATTTTACTTTCTTTCTTTTTAATTTTCTGTAACTTCCCAAAACAACAAAAACAATTCTCCAATTTTATTTCTGTCATTTTCCTAGTTTTAATCGACTCCTAGCTTAACCACTTAAGTCTTTGTGTTCGACCCCGGTACTACGACATCCGTACACTTGCGGATTAGTTGTGTGTCGGGTATAAATTTAAAGCTCGTCACGCAAGTGATCAAGTTTTTGGCGCCGTTGCGGGGGACTTTTTACAGTTTCCATATCTATGATAGATTGACTCTAGGTTAGTCTTTCCGGAGTCTTTGATTTTTCGGTTTGATTTTTGTGTGTGTTTGTTCACTTCCTTTTTCTTTGCGTGTTTGTGTGATTTTTATTTTTCTCTTGAGTCAATTTTTCCTTGTTTCTTTTATTTCTTGATTTTTCTCTTCTTAATTTTTTGCTGTTGTATTTCCCTGGACTTTTCTGGACAATTTCAGATTTTCCTGGACTTTTCCGAATTTATTCTGGACATTTTCTGGGTTTTTCTGAATTTTTTCAGATTTTTCCCGAATTTCCTGGACTTTTCCGGGATCGTTCTGGATTTTATCGGGTGTCTCTCCCTACTCTCTGCCTTTTTATTCCCTTTGATTTACCTTCTCTGCCTTTTTCTGGACTTTTATTTCTGCAGGTTTCCTTAGTACATGAGCAGACGTCCCACTCGAAGACAACTCGACCCAGATTTTGAGCTTGCCTTTGACCCGGACATAGACAGAACCGAGAGGGAAATCCGCAGAAAACGAAGAGAAGACAGAATGGCAGAAGAGGCAGCAAGGGGTGAAGCGCAGGAAGCACAGCCAAGAGAGCGTGCCCGAGCTAATTTGCAGACTTTTGGGATGTACACGACGCCCAAGCATACTCAGCTACTCTCCTGCATCAACCGACAGCCCTTAGACCATTTTGAGCTTCAACCGCAGTTCATTCAGATGCTGAATCAGATGAGCTTCAGAGGGAGGTATAATGAGGATCCGAATTCTCATCTTACGCAGTTTAAGATGCTTTGTCACACCATCAAGAAACCGCTAGGGGTAACAATGGAAGATGCGATGATTGAGGCGTTTCCCTTCTCTCTGATGGATAAGGCGCGGGATTGACTCTATACTTTGGAGCCAAATTCCATTTCTACATGGGATGAGATGGAGGAGAAGTTTATGATGAAATATTACTCTCCCATGAAGACACAGTTGGCGCTGAACAAGATTAACACATTCGCCCAAGATGACGGTGAGACCTTGTATGACGCTTGGGAGAGGTTCAAGGAGTATCAGAGAATGTGTCCGCACCACGGTATGGACAACAAATATCTCCTCTCTACATTCATACATGGCCTTAGGGATGACACGAGAGGATGGATTGATGCAGCATGTGGAGGCAGCGTGTATGATCTCTCTTCCGAGGCACTAGAAGTGCAGATTGCTAAAATGGCGAAAGGGAGAAGCATTTCAGGGGAAATGGGCAGCAGACGGTCTTTGCCTAAGGCTGATGTCAAAGGGGATGCTAGCGAGTCTTCGGCTTTACAAGCCGTTCTTTCGGAGCTTTCTGCCATCAAGCTGCAACTTGCTAAGTCCGGTTCATCAAACCCGCAGAAGGGTAAACCGGGCTTGTACATGGTGGAACAAGGAGAAGAAGCCATGGAAGAAGTCGACTATGTGGGAAGAAATCAATACAACAATCAGTCGAACTTCTACAATCCGGGGAATCGGAATCACCCTGGCTTTTCTTATGGCAACCCGCAAGGAGCGTTGAACCCTCAGCATCAAAGCGGAGCAAAACCTCAGGGACTGTCAGGATTTCAGCCTAGATACCAGAATCAGGACTACCAGAGCCAGAATCAGGGGTATCAGAATCAAGGCCAGGACTACAATCAGAGAAATCAAGGATACAGAGCTCCTCCGCCTCAGGCTAAGGAAGAAGAGTCAGAGTTAAAGTCGATGTTAGCCCAGCTAATGCACGATCAGAAAAACTCGTTTTCCAGCTTGGGTCAAGAGATGCAAGGATTCAAGGGGAAGCAAGAGAGCTTTGAGCAGAGATTGGATGGGATGGATGCACATCTCAAGATGGTTGATAACCAGATTGCTCAGCTTGCTTCCCAAGCTGCGAGACCTCAAGGCCAATTTCCGGGTAAGGCTGATCCTAACCCGAGGGAGCATATTAATGCTATAGGCTTGAGAAGCGGAAGACAGCTTTCGGAGACCTCCCCAGTTGTCAGAGAAGAGGGAGAAGGTTCACACGAACCTCAGAGGGCCGCCTTAGACAAAGGCAAGGGCCATGTTGTAGAGGGGTAAGAGGCGAGGTATATTCCGCCTCCTCAACAGGCACCCCCTCTACCATTTCCATCTCGGGCAAGGAAGTATAACGAAGACAGTCAGTTTGCCAAGTTTACCGAGATGCTGAAGAAACTAGAAGTGACCATGCCCTTTCATGAGGTAGTGTTACAGATCCCGTCCTATACAAAATTCTTGAAGGACATTCTCACGAAGAAGAAGGCGGTTGAGAAGGAGACAGTGGCACTTAGTACAGAGGTGAGTGCGGCCATATTGCAGACGAAGTTACCGCAGAAGATGGTTGATCCCGGTAGCTTCTCCATCCCGTGCAGATTGGGGAATGTGGAGATTGAGAGGGCACTTTACGATTTAGGCGCAAGTGTCAGTTTGCTGCCTCTCTCCATATTCAAGAAACTTAATGTCGGTGAGCTGAAACCGACAAGGATGGCAGTGCAATTGGCCGACCGATCAGTGAAGTATCCCGCTGGGATCTTGGAAGATGTGCCTCTTAAGATAGGGGAATTCTATGTCCCCGTCGACTTTGTGGTTCTGAACATGCCGGAGGATTCTAAAATCCCCATTATACTTGGTAGGCCGTTTCTGAATACGGCTGATGCTGTTGTGCATGTCAGAGAGGGCAGACTCACGATGAAGATTGGTGACGAGACGGTTGAGTTCAGACTTGATCAGAACCTTAAGCAACCGCATCTGGTGGAGTCTTCCTTTTACCTAGACTTGATCGACACACTGGTCGACGAAGTGAGGGGTGAATTCAGAGAGTCAGAACCCCTCGAGATGGCATTAAACGCGGTACAAGACAGCATGTACTGCGATTGGGAGGAAGTCCGGAGCATTGTTCGGACTTTAGATGACAGCTCATCGATTGAGCTAGAGGGCTGGAAATACAGGGCCGTTGAGCCCTTTCTTGTTCTGCCCGTGAGTTCCCTTGGCTAAGGGACGAGGAAAACGAAGAGGAGCCATCACCTTCTCCGAGTCATCAAGCCCTAGTCTCCTCCATTCAAGTCAAGCAGCCCGATGTGGAGACGAGCGGGAAGAAGGATTGGAATCCAGAGAGCGCGCCTAAGGTGGAATTGAAGCCCTTGCCACAAGGGCTTAGGTATGAATTTCTCGGACCTAACTCTACTTACCCGATAATTGTGAATGCTGCTTTGACTGATGTGGAACTAGTTGATTTAGTTGCATTGCTTAGGGAGTATAGACAAGCGTTGGGTTACACTCTAGACGACATTAGAGGCATTAGTCCATCCCTTTGCATGCACCGCATTCATCTAGAGGATAGTTCCAAAACCTCCATCGAGCATCAACGTAGGTTAAACCCGACCATGAAGGAGGTAGTGAAGAAAGAGGTGCTCAAATTGCTAGATGCGGGTATCATTTACCCGATTTCGAATAGTGCATGGGTTAGTCCCGTGCAAGTTGTACCAAAGAAGGGGGTATCACCGTGGTAGAAAATGAGCATAATGAATTGATACCCACTAGGGCGGTTACGGGTTGGAGAATGTGCATTGATTATAGGAAACTGAATTCCAACACCCGTAAAGACCATTTCCCGTTGCCCTTCATCGACCAAATGCTAGAGAGGTTAGCCATGCATTCCCACTTTTGTTTTCTTGATGGCTACTCGGGATTCTTCCAAATCCCCATTTACCCTAGCCACCAGGAGAAAACCACCTTTACATGTCCATATGGCACCTTTGCATACCGTAGGATGCCTTTTGGTTTATGTAATGCACCGGCGACATTTCAGAGATGCATGACTGCTGTATTTTCTGATCTCATTGATGATGTTATGGAGGTGTTCATGGATGATTTTTCTGTCCATGGGCCCTCCTTTCCCGTGTGTCTAATGAATTTGCGCCGAGTGTTGGACAGGTGTGTTGAGGCGAATCTTGTGCTGAATTGGGAGAAGTGTCATTTCATGGTCCAAGAGGGCATTGTGCTAGGCCACAAGATTTCAAACAAGGGGATTGAGGTTGACCGAGCTAAGGTCGAAGTGATAGAGAAGTTGTCGCCTCCACGGAATGTTAAGGGAATCCAGAGTTTTTTGGGACATGCCGGGTTCTACAGGAGGTTCATCAAGGACTTCTCGAAGATTTCGAGGCCTTTGACCGAACTACTTGCAAAGGACGTGCCTTTTGAGTTCACCCATGAGTGTCAGGCCGCCTTTGAAACTCTGAAAAAGGCGTTGATCTCTCCGCCCATCATTCAGCCGCCGGATTGGGAAGCCCCTTTTGAGCTTATGTGCGACGCGAGTGATTTCGCCGTGGGGGCTGTTTTGGGTCAGAGGAGAGACAGGAAGCTTCACGCCATATACTATGCGAGTAGGACCTTAGACGATGCTCAGATGAACTATTCCACAACCGAAAAGGAGCTACTCGCCATAGTATTTTCCTTTGAGAAGTTTCGGTCTTATTTGGTCGGTTCGAAGGTGATCGTCTATACCGACCATGCCGCCTTGAGATATCTCCTATCCAAGAAGGATGCCAAGCCAAGGTTAATCAGATGGATTCTCTTGCTGCAAAAGTTTGACTTGGAGATCAGAGATAGGAAGGGTACAGAGAATGGAGTGGTCGACCACTTATCTCGGATTGAGCGACATGAAGATATTCCCATTGATGATTGTCTCCGAGATGATTGCGTGATGGTTGTCCAAGTGAAGGAGAGAGACCCGTGGTACGCAGATTTTGTCAACTTCATTGTCAGCGGGTACATTCCTCACGAGTTGGACTACAACGGGAGGAAGAGGTTCTTCAGAGACATCAAGGATTATTTTTGGGAAGAACCTTATCTCTTCAAGAGAGGCAAGGATGGCCTCTTTAGGAGATGTGTGCCCGAAGAGGAAGTCCAGAGTGTGATTCATCATTGTCACTCTTCGGACTATGCTGGTCATTTTGGAGCATCGAAGACCTCGGCTAAAATTCTTCAAGCCGGGTTTTATTGGCCGTCAATGTTCAAAGACGTTAATCAATACGTCTACTCTTGCGATGCTTGCCAGAGAACGGGGAACATCTCCCGCCGCCACGAGATGCCTCAGCATTACATCTTGGAAGTCGAGCCCTTTGATGTTTGGGGCATAGACTTCATGGGACCGTTCCCATCTTCTTATGGGAACCAATACATCCTCGTGGCGGTCGATTATGTCACCAAGTGGGTAGAAGCGATGGCGAGTCCCACTAATGACTCGAAGGTGGTGACTAAGATGTTCAAGAGGGTGATCTTTCCAAGATTCGGGACGCCAAGGGTCGTGATCAGTGATGGAGGATCTCACTTCATCAACCGCACCATCGTAACTCTTTTGAAGAAGTATGGTGTGAAGCATAAGGTAGCTACCCCGTATCATCCTCAAACGAGCGGGCAAGTTGAAATCTCAAATAGGGAGATTAAGGCAATACTTGAGAAAACGGTGTCAAGGTCAAGGAAGGATTGGGCGATGAAGCTTGACGATGCTCTATGGGCATATAGGACAGCCTTCAAGACACCTATCGGTATGTCTCCCTTCCAACTTGTCTATGGGAAAGCTTGCCATCTTCCATTTGAGCTTGAGTACAAAGCTCTTTGGGCGATCAAGAAGCTGAATTTTGATTAGAAATCGGCCGCAGAGAAGCGGATGTTAGAGCTTCATGAGCTTGATGAGATTCGGATGGATGCGAATGAGAATGCCCGAATCTACAAGGAGAGAACGAAGAAGTGGCATGATCGCCGTGTATTGCAGAGAGTATTCAGAGATGGTGACCAAGTACTCATTTTCAACTCTCGATTTAAGCTCTTCCTCGGAAAGCTAAAATCGCGTTGGTCAGGACCGTTCACAATCAAGAAGGTTTATTCTCATGGAGCGGTCGAGTTATACGGGCATGGAGGAACCACTTTTAAGGTGAATGCTCAAAGGTTAAAGGTCTATAACTTCGGAAAACAAGATATGGGGAGAGGCACATTGCGCCTCTCTGATCCAATTGAGGGATAGGAGCAGATACGGTCAAGCTTAAGACCCTAAGTAAGCGCTCTCGGGAGGCATCCCGAACTTGTACATATCTTTTTTAGTATCCTTTTTTCATTTGCATATCACTTAAAATCATTTAGGTGCATTGATGAGATTTGTTCTATGTTTGTGATGGTGATTGACATTGCGCTTAATATTTCAATATGGCTAAAGGAGAATAATTTTCCTTGCGGTCTACAGCTGGGACTTTAATACAGGAACATACGCGGGAGAAGCGGAAAATTCTGGCGAAAATTCTGGGCAAAGTGACTTAGTCAGCCCCGGACCAACTCTTGGTCCGGCGGACCAAGTCACTCCGACACACGCACTGGCGGACTGAGGAAGGGAGGCGGACCAGAGAGTGTACTGAACGTATGGTCAGCCGCTGACCAAGAATTGGTCCGGCTGACCGCAGACACTCCGCACTCAGCTCCTTCGAAACGGACCAGAAACGCGGACTGAGCAATCCCGAACGTTGACTCAGCCCCAGACCGGAGATTACTCAGCCCCGGACCGACATCACACGCCAATTAAAAGGTAAGTCCGGGGGAGAGCGGGTCCCTCTTCATTTCACTCCGCCGAACCAAGAAGCCTTGGACCGACTTCTCCCTCGTTCACTCCGCCGGAGCGCACTGCCATCGATTCCACTCGCGGCGCCGCTACCCTCTATCGCCGACGTCCTCACCTCGCCGGAAGCTCGCTTCTCTCTCCCCCGACTCTCGCTCTCTCTCTCTCTCTCTCTCTCTCTCCCATTTTCGAATTTCCACCGAAGAGATGGCCCCCACGAGTCACAAAGACAGGCGCCCGAAGTTTACCCGACCGCCTATACCAGAGGGAGCTATCACGGAGCTTACTGACCTCGAGCCTATTGTTGAGGATGACACTGTCCCTCCATACGGAGTTGGTTTCTCCCCCGAGGAAGAGAGCTTATATCGGACACTGAACCAGATGGGAGCTTCGCCATCTAAGTTCATCAGCCGCGAGATCGAGCAGCTCGGTCTATATGAGAGCGTGCGGTACCTATTCCACCGGCTGGGTTGGGATAGACTGTTCGAGGCATGGGAGGAGACGCACACCACGCTGACCCTCGAGTTCTTCGCCATGTATACATGTTGGCTACCCAGAAATGGGTCTGTAGAGGGCGGTTACATGACGTTCCAGCTAGCCGGTCGCTGCCACTGCCTCACCACGGCAGATTTTACCGAGATCTTGGGCGTCCCACGAGGGACGAGACAGACTCACCCTCCGATCGACCCTGATGCACTACAGGAGTTCTGGACCACTATTGGGTCAGGTGAGTTTGAGACGGGGAAGAGCAAGTCGATCAGGATTCGACACCCCGCGGTACGTATCTTGCACATGTTTATTGCGGGAGTGCTGTTTACTCGTGGCGAGCAGGGGAATATCAAGACCATTGAGTTGTGCCTGCTTAGACGAGCACTCCGTGACGCGTTCGACGGAGATGATTGGGGCATGTCTCGTCTTGACCTAGCCTCGAGGGTGGCTATCCACCTTCACGAGATATCACATGCGAAGCAGTCCACCAGGGTACCCATCTACCAGGGAGGAATAGTGTCCATGATAGCTAGGAGAGTGGGCATCAACCTGGGTTTGCAGTGGCAGAAACCGATAGTTTACCCAGACTTACATCTCGCCATGCTCAGCGCGAAGAGGGCGATCGACACTAGCACGGCTGGAGGACCTTACTGGCGCTATATTGATATTGAAGAAAGGGAGAGGACAGTTTGTCTACCTATGGACCCCCTTCCTCCCTTCACCATACAGGGTCTACGGTTCCAGATAGACGGAGAGGAGGCCCCAGCCGTGCCCGCACAACCACCCCGTCGACGTCGCAGAGAGAGAGCTTCATCTCAGTCTCCTGAGGCACATGACTATACTGGGGATGCCTCCTCGTCTTTTGTACAAGCATCTCAGGAGGACATACGGGAGCTCAGAGATTTTATACGTCAGGGATTTGATACCGTTGGTCACCGCATGGACACCATCGATGACCGGCTGGACTCATACGATCATCGTTTGGGCAGCTTGGAGGACTCTGTAGCGGTTATGCGCACGCAGTTTGGACATTACCACTTCTACCAGACAGAATTGAACCGCCGGTACGATTCCACCTATGTGACGAGGATGCAGAACATCGTACAACCAGTCCCTCTCCTACCAGACTACCCTTACCCTGGCC